AGAAAACCAAGGATAAGCAAACGCAATTAGAAGAGTTGATGGGGGGGATTAAAAACAGGGGAAGCCACACAACATCAAATATTGAAAGAGGAGACTGAAATTAAGACGTTCTAACAGGTTTTGTGTGGTTCAGGAAGACGGAGATAGGAGCAGTGAATTTCAGACTTTAGGTGTCACCTGAATGGTAAATGGAAGGGTCGTCCTCACAGTACCTAATTCCCAAACTCCAGAACTGTGGCAATCGAGATACCTGGCATCCGGGTCAACAGACAGCCAGATTACCCGAATGAACAGAGTGGAAAGTCCAGAGAGGGACCCCCACCCCCCTGCGCCCTCCCTCCCGGCCAGTCACTTGGTTTTCAACCAGCATGTCAAAATCCAATAGGGAAACAAGTCTTTATAACAAGTGGTGCAGAAACAACTGGTTACCTACCTGAAAAGAAAGAAAACAAAATAAACCGGAAATTAGTGCCATGGAAAAAGGCCATCGGACACAATGAACATAGAAAATCTGGACCACACGGATCCAGGGGAAAAAGACAGGCTGTGCCTACCCATCTAGACGGGTCTTACAGTTAACCATGAGAAAATGCTATGAACAAATATTCATGCCAATGAATTTGAAAACACAAATCTGAAATTTCGTAAAATGTCAAAATAGGTTCAAGAAGAAAAGAAAACCTGAATTTGCCTGGAATCACTAAGGAAATCAAGTCAGGAAACATAAATCTGTTCCCAAAAATGGCATCATTTTACAATTTTTACTAAGTGAAAGAAAATAAGAGGAAGGGGACAGACACGCTCCATCTTTCATAAACTATTCCAAAACTGGAAACTGGAAAAAAAAATGAGCCAGTTCCTACCTCATTTTATGGATCTGATATAGCCTTAATACTCAAACTGACAAAGGATAGAGTAAGAAAAAGTATAGTTTAATCTCATTTATTAATATAGATCTGAAAACCCTAGTGAAATATCATAAAACTTAATTTATCACTGTATTTTAAAAAGTAATAAATCATGAGCAGGTCTGGTCTACCCAAAGGATATATGAATCATTTAGCATTAGAAAAATCTATTAAAGTTATTTAACCAAATAACAGGTTAAAGGGGGTAAATGATCAGATCTTTTAATGATTTCAGATAAACAATTACTAAAATTCTTGATGTGTTCATGATAAAACAAACAACTTAGCAAACGAGGAATGGATCTGCCCTTTCTAAATGGGATACAGGATATCTTAAAACAACTTTAGCTAACGTTGCCCATCATGGCAAACTGTCAGAGTCTTCCCTTGATGGCCAGGGAAATGACGAGACGCCAATCTCGTGGTTTCTTTTCGATATTGTACTGGATGTCCTAATAGAACCATGAAGGAGGAAATCAGAGGGTGTGGAATTGCCCTTTGGCATCTACTACCATGAATGAAGTGGTTTTAGGAAGAAACTGTGTTGTTTGTTAAATTCTCTCGCTAAATTACGAGTGGGGAGTTGAGGGCTGGGGCTGACGGGATCCAGGGTATGGGAGAGAAGGTGACTCAACAGCTCTTTGTTTGAAATAGAGATTTTAGCCCTGACACAGAGAATGCAGACCTGGGAAAGGAAGGGCTTCACCGTCAGAGGCCAAGGCCAGGATTGCAAAGGGCAAATGATCTTGCAGCCAGATGTTCAAAGCGCTCTATCTGAGTAAGTCTTTCAATCTTACTCAGAATCTTCGGGAAAGATTTCTACACCTTCTGGGAATGATTTTTTTTTTTTTTTAACTTTAAAACAAAAGAATGAATACCGATCTGGCTCAGTGAGAAACAGAGCCAGAAAAACACAAGAATGGATAGTCTCAAATAGAAAATAACTCAAACAGAAGAGGAACCCAGTGCCAGAGATAACTCCCCTGAGAACTCACACAAATTTGGTGCCTTCTGATAGCAGGGACTTGGGCAAGGAAGTCAAGCAATTTCGTGACAATATTAAGGGTTGAAAACCACGATGCTCTAACAGCCAAACTTAAAAAAAAAAAAAAATTGCAAAATGAGTCTGAAAAGCTTTGGGTTTAGGAGCTGGTGGAGCTCAGTGCGGGATCCTGACCGGCACGTTCCAGGGCCAGGTTGGACCCCCAGCACTGAAACGTCACAAATCTTTACCATCTGAGTCCCACTGGCTGTGAGGCTGTACCCCAAGTGCTGTCCCCTACTGATCAGTGACATGGACATGATGAAGCAGAAGTTCTGAGGTGTGTTTTAGGAGATTCACTGGATCCCCAGAATTCACTGATGAAGTTCTTATTTCCTCTTAGGCTTTTGGAATATTTCACCAGAATATGAAACTGCCTGGGGAACATGGAATATGAAAAAATAAATTCTTTAGGGACTCTTAATTTCCTGGTGAATATGATTTATATTAGAATATCTAGGCAGTGAAGTTAATGTCAAGGTATAAATCAGTTCAATTAAAAAGTGAATATCAGTGGGTGAGACGCTGTTTACCTGTTATCCTGCCTACTCAGGAGACTGAGGCAGGAGGATGGAAAGTTCAAGGACATTCCGGGCAACTCAGCAAGACTCTGTTGCAAAATAAAAAACAAAAAGGACTGGGGATGTAGCTCAGTGGGAAAGGGCCCCCAGGCTCAATCCCCAGAACTGCAAAACAAAACACAAAAGTGAATCTCACAGTGATCATTTAGCTTGAAAATATATATATATATATCTGTATCTTGGAACATGAAATAATTTAAGGTGACTAATCTGAACTACAAATAGTTTTCATTATGGTCAGAAGGCATTATTACTATTTTGTTGATATTTTAGCTTTCAACTCACATTATTTTTAAAATTATAACAATAGAAGCATCAGCTTTGTTTTAATGGATAGACTTAGTAAATACGAATATTCTGGCAATATAAATATTCAGGAGTTATAGGAAGTTTAGTGTACCAGTGTTAAAATCATTTCCAGAACATGAGAGATATTCTAGTTCTAGTTCCATAACATGTGTCCCTATTATTAGTGGAAAGTCATCACTAATGTAACCAGTATTCACCACGACCCCTAGTCCTGGGGATTGAACCCAGTGAGACTCTGACACTGAGCTACCTTCCCAGCCCTTTTTATTTCTTATTTTGAGACAAGGTCTCATTATGTGGCAGGGGCTGGCCTTGAACTTGTGATCCTCCTGCCTCAGCCTTCCAATTCACTGGGATCACAGGTGCGGGGCACCATGCCCTGTGCACACACTTCTTTATTCATACAAAAGCCTTTTCTTTTTTATATCCCATGTTCCCAGGACAGTTTCCTATTCATATGAAATATTCCAAAAGCATAAGAGAAAATAAGATCTTTCTCTATAAATTCCGGTGTTCCAGTGAATCTTGTAAAACACACCTCAGAACTTCTGCTTCATCATGTCTGTATAGCAGAGAGTTGGGGATCAGCCTCACATCAGTGGGACTCAAATGGTAAGCTTTTTTATGTTCAGTGCTGGGGGTCCACCTGGGCCCCTGAGTGTGTGGGTCAGGAGCTCCCCCACTAAGCTCCACCAGCTCCTGGATCCGGAGCTTTTCAGACTTACTTCACCAGCCACTTAACTCCTCTGCCAATGTTGCACTGGATTTTTTTTTTCCCAAAAAACATTATTACCACTTCAATGATCCCTTTCTCTTCATCATATACTTTTTTTAAATTACAAAGCAGGATATTTGGGGGAATGGTCAAAACTTCTTGGTATGTGATTGGAGCTCCATTTCTGAACATTCCTCATAGGGCTGGAGACTCTCGTCCTTTCCAGAAGACTGAGGACTCTACCTGATTCATCCTTATCTCCTTCATCACAGGTGAGCCATGAATTTAGTCACAGTTTCTGTACTAAAGCTCTTTCCTGTGAGCAGACATTCCATACAGCCAGGATTAGCACGTGCCAGCCTAAAGTAACTTTATTGTTGACATTTTTCTAGAAAAACAAGCAGCCGGAGCTTCCTTACAAGGTGAGTATTTGGGGAATTCATTTCCTCTCTCCTCTCCTCTTCCTTAACTCAACTGAGCAGCACATGAAGATTTCTCAGACCCGACAATCGTGACCTCCTTAATGAATGACAGTGACCTGGATGCTACAATATGCTCTGATTCTCAGTGTCCGTGGTGGATGACAGAGCCAGACCTCCGCTCAGATGGCAATACGTTCATCACAGCCATCAAAATTACGCTTCCCCACTTTTCTGACCTCATCACTGAGTACCCCTTCAGTTCCAATCCCCCTGACACCCCAGTACACCTCCAGGCCGACGCCAACACTCCTTCAGCAGCAGTTACACAGAGCAGGGAACCCTCAAAGCCCTATGCAGCTCCCCACAGAAGGTGCGCCCAATGATCTCCTTCAAGAAATAGGAGGAGACCTTAAATGGCTTGTACCTAAGGGAAGAGGTTTAAGCTTCCATGGGGCAAGGATTTTGCTTCCTGATATTTACAAACCCCGCCCTCCCCTTTGGCTTGCATGGCCTTGAGTTGACACTGGAGCTTCTTGGCCTTCCCTGAGGCCAGTAATCACGGTGTCACACAGGCCACTTCTTGTCCGCCTTCCTCTTCAGTCGAACAGGCAAACAACAGCATCTCTCCAGGAACTGGGACAGACAACCCTTTCAAAAATCACGGGATGAATCATGCCTACTTCATATCCTGAACACAATTAGGTCCACTTCCAACTGTCTACCAACAATGACCAGAAAAGGCATGCAGAAGTAGCTGCATCTGAGCCTCCTTGTTAACCATTTCGACCTCAGAGCCCCAGTTCAGCTCCACACCAGCAAAACAGACACACACACACACACACACACACACACACATACACACACTTTTGGCAGTTTCATTTGCTCCAGACTCTCAGAAGACATCAGAAATCTGCAAAAACAGGAAGAATCGTGGACTGTTTTTTCAGTTCATCTTCTATTAATTTCTCTTTCTTCAGATCTAAGGTTTTCAGCTCTGCCACTTGGATAGAAGTAAAGTACTTACAAAAAAAATCATATCTTCAGTTTCCAGTAGCTATTCCTTTTCTCAGTTTGGGGACTCATATAACAGGGAACAAAAACCTATATGAAAGAAGAGGAATATAAATATCAAATACCAACATAATTACTGTGATTATATATTACATCAAGCCCTGATTTTTCCTGCAACCAACCATAAAGTTTGTAGCAGCATGTGTTAAATAAGAGTCAATTGTTTCTAATAAAAGGAAGAAAACTGATTCTTGAGACTTCTTCCTGATTACCAGATTCATCTTCAAGAAAACTTTTACAGATTCATCTTCAAAGAGATTTTGACCTATATACAGGACAGTCATCGGATACACACACACACACACACACACACACACGCATACATATTTGTTGTTGTTGTTTGTTTTTCAGGACTAGAGATGGAACCCAGGGCCTCAGGCATGCTAGGCAATCATTTTGCCACTGAACTGCACCCCCATCCCTGAATAATTTCTTAGAAAGTCTTCTGGATCTCATTTTTTTTTAAATAACTTGATGAGAAAGAACAAAATTATTAGAAAACAATACATTTATACTCAATTCATGGGAGAGAGCCTGACCTCAGACAGCAGAATGGAGGGGGCATCCTGAGCAGGAATGGTGCAGCCCCTGCAGTAAGATCTGCACAGGAAGCTGTGCGATTGCCCTGCCTCTGCTCCACCGGTGAATGCTGCCCTGTGTCCAGTCTGTGCCCTTTCTCTGGGCGGTGTCTCTCAAAGTCTGGGCCACAGACTAGTGGTCGGCAGACTGTTGATGGTGCACAGGAGGTTGGCTTAGAAATTGAGATAAGAGTTTAAAACTTTTATAGCAACATGAGAACTACTTCATGAATATTGACTCTAATAATTTAAAATCGAAGCATACCCTTTCAATATATTGATTTCTTTACTTTCATTTTTTCTAGTAATTCATTTATATGACATGTTATAAAAGAACCTGCAATACATTGAGAATTTAAGATTCCAAACTGGTTCTTTACCCCAATATAAAAATTACTCAAGAGTTCCATTTCTCAAACTTTAGTGGCCACATACCACTCTGATGATTTTACCATGTCTTACACCAACTTTATTGTTTATTCAGTATCTTCTTGAGCAAATAACTTTTTATTCAAATAATTTTAAATGATGCTATATCACCACCATAAGTCCAGTATCAATGCAAGTAGAAAATAATTATAAGAGCAAATTCCAGGAAAAGTAAGCAATGCTAGTTAATTTTTAAAATGCAATAATATAGGGCTGGGGTGGAGCTCAGTGGTAGAGAGCATACCTTGCCATGTAAGTAATTTAAAATAAAATAATAAATAACAATCTTCAAGTAATGACAAGCCTAACTGATTTGCAAAGGTGTAAAAAAAACGGTGAAAGAATAAAAGAACCGTCTTTGTATCTTATCAGCCCATATAAAAAAAACAGATATTGAACTCAATATTTCTCAGTTCCAGACAAAGAAAAGCCAAATATCCAAAAGATATTTATCCCTTCTTAGGAAAAAGTGAATCCTTAGAATTAACTCCTAATGAAATTGAAGAAGCCATTTGTCCGACACATCTTCTTTTACCAAGTAGCCTTGTGAAGAGAATTTGAGGCCTTCTGAACTGGCGGGGTTCTGGGGTAGCCCAGGGAGTAAGGCACACAGGGTTTCCCTGCCCTGGATCCCGGGCATCTAGTTTGAGAAAATGTTTCTGAAGACCATTTATCAAGGGAGATCTTCATCATTTTGAAACTCTTTTCAGCAAAATCTTCAAATGAACTTTCTAAAAGAAACTACAAGTCGTTTCAGTAAGTATTATCGGTGAAATGGATATAAGTTTCAGAACTTGTACTGGGATCTGAAGAAACCACATCTCATGCATGGAACATACAACTGCTGCCATTTCGCACACTCTGAATAGGAGCTAGGCACTTTGCTAAGTTTATATGTGTGTATGACTACACATACAGAAATATACATGTAATGCCTACATGTATGAATATGTTACATATGAAGTATAAGTGAGAAATGTATATGTCATATATTTTATTTCATTTTAATATACATTTAATATCATTTTATATTTTATAAAATTATATAAATCTGTATGACAATTAGATTAAGAAATAATATATAAATATATAGGAAATGAGGTAATTATATACTAAAGAAGATTTTGTAATGTATACCATATATTCAAATATAAAAGTGGACATGGCTGGTGGACTGCAAATTAGTGCAACTAATCTGGAAAGCAGTATGGAGATTCCTTAGAAAACTTGGAAAGGAAACACCATTTGACCCAGCTATCCCACTCCTCAGTCCATACACAAAGGATTTAAAATCAGCATACTGTAGTAACGCAGCCACATCAATGTTCATAGCAGCACAATTCACAGCAGCTAAATTGTGGAACCAACCTAGATGCCCTTCAACAGATGAATGGATAAAGAAACTGTGGTACATCTACACAGTGGAATATTACTCAGCATTAAAAGAGAATAAAATCATGACATTTGCAGGTAAATGGATGGAGTTGGAGAATGTCATGCCAAGTGAAGTCAGCCAATCCCAAAAAACCATAGGCTGAATGTTCTCTCTGATAAGTGAAAATGGAGAGGAGGAGGCATGAAGAAAATGAAGGAACTTTGGGCAAAGGGGAGGGAGTGTGGGGAGGGTACAAAGGGGCAGGAACGATCATGGAATGAGACAGACGTCATTACTCTAGGTACATGTGACTGCACATAGGGTGTGACAACCAGAGAAATGAAAAGTTGTGCTGCAACGTGTACAATGAATCAAAGTACTTTCTGCTGTCATATATACCTAGTTAAAATAAATAAATTTAAAAAAACAAATATGAGTGTGGAATCTCATTTATTCTCTCTCAGTGGAAACTGGGCTCAAAGAGGTCTGGTGAGCTCACTGGATCATCAGCAAACATTGTCTGAGTGTGTGCTGGTTGCAGTTCACCATCCTAGGCACTGGGAGAACAGGCTACACAGCCACACAGGGTCATCTGTGTCTTGGCAGTGGCTGGGGGGAGACAGGAGAATCCATGAGATAATGGCCAACTGCGGTCATCTGTGAAGAAGCGCAGGGGCGGGGAAAGAGCCCTGAAGCCGAGATCTGGATGAAGAGCCAAGCACAGAATGAGGAAGACCGAGACGGAGCAGTCCAGGCACAAGAAACAGCTACTGCAAAGTGCTGAGACAAGAACACCTTGGCATGTTCCGGAAACAAAGAATGCAGGGCCGCAATCTCCTGAGCAATGGGGAATGCCGCCGTCAGGGTCACAGAGGCCCTGTAGGCCTGCTGAGGAGTGAAACTTACTCTCTGCAATGGAAAACCTTTGGAGGGAGCGACACAATCTGGAAACTACCCCCAGGGCTGGGGGTGTAGCCCAGTGGTGCAGTGTGAGCTCGGCACGCACAAAGCCCTGGGTTCCATCCGCAGAGCCCGCCCCCCATCCTTCTGGATGCTGTGTGAGGAATACGGTATATGGGGGGGGGGGCGAAAAGGGAAAGAAGACACAAAGTTCAAACCTGTGCAGAGGTCTTCACCTTCAATGGTTGGACTTACGGTTCTTGGACGTTACAATGGTGCAGAGTATTTTACATTCAGCAGCAGTCACACTTTGAATTGTGTTCTTGGATCTCTTCCCAGGGTAGTGATATGCAGTCCAATCCTCTCTCCTGATGCTAGGCAGTGACGGTGAGCCACAGCCTGCCCACCCAGCGATCACCAGGGGAAACACAGACACTCTGGAGTGTTGCTAAGCTGCCACGGTCAGTAGGTGGGGTGTACTCAGTGCATTGTTAGCACCCAGAGGTCTCAGATTACTACAGGTTCCTCAGGACATGGCACCATGGTAAGGCAAGGAGCAGTGGTGAACTGGCTCAGCCAAAAGAGACAGTGGCCTGAAAAAGAAGTGGGAACTAGGGATGGAGAGCAAAGGGCAGGTTTGAAGATAGCATCAGCTGGGCTTGCCGTCATGTGCAGGAAGATTCAGGGTGAAGGAGGAGAAGCGGAAAGACCCCTGGTTCTGATAGGAGCAAGTCTCCTCTGGTTTCACGGACTTGAAAGAGGCTGAATTAGGCTTAACCCCAAGTCTGGCTGCCCCGGCTCCAGGGCCACTCGTCCGTCCATCGTTCTCATCGTCACTGAGTAGAAACCCTGGTCTTCCCCGTCACTTACCCTAAGCTTGATGTAGCACGTGCCTTCCCCAAATCCTTGGATCTGGGTCTACTCGGGATGCAGATTCTCAGAGCAACCAGAGAGGGGGAAGTCCGGAACCCATGTTGGAGAAGATGCCTGGGACCTCCGTGGAGGGAGCGGTGTCAGCCTGCTAGCCTCTCAATTCCTCCGCCCTCCTGCAGGAGATGGAAGCAGCACCCAGTGGAAGCAGCATTGGGAGGTCACAGGAGCAGTAGTTGCTGGTTTCGATCAAGAAAGAGAGATCCAGTGGGCAGAAAACCGAAAGGGGCCATGACATTTGGCTAATGGGAGCAAAGCTCCAGAAGGTTAGGAGGGAATTTGTATTACAGCAGGTTCTGAGGTTAAAGAAAGACGAGGCAGTGGGGACACAAGTACGGATCAGACTTTCAGGCAGTCTTAGCCCAGTGACAGGAAAAGAAGAGGTAGACTGATAGTTTCCAGAGAAAGCAGAACTGAGAATGATAATGTCAATGTATGCCATATGGGAAAGCAGTTTTCAAGCATTATGCAAATAAATGATTATTCTTTGGCCACACCATATGCTGTCTTTGACTTATTTCTTTTCACCTCAATGCTCCTATTTCCAGAAACAAACTTTAAGTGAAATAATAAACCACATTTAATATTTTTTGGCATTGCCAACATAATGTCTTATGCAAAAAAAAATGAGTAAAAACTTGATTACTAAATAAATAATGTCAAAATACATGCAAGTGTTCAGGATGATAGTATAGATTTCTCCATTAATTTGTGTTCTACAGGGTACGTTGCTACTAAGCCCTATGTTTCTTTGTAGCTGTCATAATATGCCCCAGAGCGCTGAGCATAGTAGGTATTCAATTAATATTTGTTGATAG